TTCGCCCTCATCGGGTCGCGTAAACTTCTCCACCAGCGGTATGCTACCGGTTTGGGATCTACTCTTCTTATTACCATATGGTAACGCGGTTGTATCAGGGATAATCCTACCCGATTTCAGACATTCAACCTGATCACAATCTTTCGTATAACCAGTATTTATACTGAGAAACATTGGTTAATTTACGGTTACGCCAATGGATACAGGTCCTACCAGCTATTTTCTTTTTATCAGGAGAATCACATTAGCCTTCTGGAGGATTTGAACCAGTATCTTGTGATCTGACCTGTGGAGCACTAACCACTGTGCTATAGACCCACAGGTCCCACGAATTCTAATTATTTACTATATGTTACTTAATAATTCTATTATAATATGGTTTTTAAAAAATGATTGAATTCAATTTCACCACATATATAGTCAAGACCTTAAAGACAATCAACAGATAATAGTTCAAACATTAACAAACAACTTTAGAGATAGAATCACAATTGGCAGAATCAAAATAATAGATGAAAACAGTCAAGAATACATCACCATTGATAAGAAGGAGATCTTAAATACTAATAAACAACTTTAGAGACAGAATTATAATTGACAGAATTAAAATAATAGATAAAAACAGTCGAGAATACATCAATATTGACAAGGAGAAGATCTTGAATCAAACAAGACTTTACTACCAACAGGTATTTTGAAAGTGCAACAGTAATTTCAATCTCCTGAACAATTAATAAAAAGAGTAATATAAACCCAAGCCAAATATCCAAAAAGAATGATACAGTACTATAAAAAAAGAAATTCAACCTAGCGAACTGAAAGAGGTTCTTCAGGACTTGTCCAATAACAAGGCAGCAGAACTATCCAAAATAAAATATAAAATACTCAAAAAGCTAGGCCCCAAAGCAAAAAGACTCTTTTCAATCTTTTCAATCTTTTCCTTGGTTTTAGAATAATATCAATATTCTGGAAGAGCAGTCTTCTTTATCCAATCTCCAAAGATAGAGATTGACAAGGAGAACTTAATAATACTAGGCCTATAATTCTATTGGAGACAACATGTAAATGCTTTATCAAAATTCTTAACAATCACTTAGTAATTATTTGCAAAAAAATACAAAATATTGAAGGGATCCAACTTTGCAAGACTCCCAGGAGAAAGTATATTAGAACCGATACACTTGCTAAACAATATCTATAAAAATGCCAGAGAAGAGAACAAGGAACTTTGGATTCTCTTCCAAGATACAACAAAAGCATATGATACAGTTAGCTTAGAAATGTTAGAAAGAATATTACAAAGAATTAAAGTCTTAAACAAAATTATTAAACTTCTGTTGAATCCCTTCACACAAAGAGCAATTAAGGTAATTACAGACATGGGTATCATCAAAGAAATCATAGCAGGGAATGGCATAGATCAAGGAGAAACCATATTATCACTACTTTGGAGAATCTTTTATGACCTATTGCTTTGTAAAATACAAGAAAATCAAAGGTTGGGCTATACAATGAGTTGCTCATGGATAACAAATTTTAGTAAGCTGGCGGGTGACCCAAAGGCTTCAAGAAAACTCTCAATTAGACAGGTAGCAATAGTTTATATGGATGACACTACATGGATAGCTATATCATATTTTTATTGATATAATAATTAATTCAAAAAATTTTATTGTTAACAATATTAATTTATTGAAAATAAATAAATATACATATAATTTATTATATATAAATATAAATTCCAAAATTGTTAATATATAAAATTTCACAGATTATATTTTTTTTAAAGAAACTTAACTATTTACTTATTATTTTAATAGGAACAAAGCTTAAATAACACTTGAATTGAGTAATCTGAATTACAAAAAATCTTTATAAATAATTTTTTTATCTTATATTTTTTATTAAGATGGAGGTTTGAATAGAAAGTTCATAAGGAAAAAAACTTATACCTTTAATTTTAAAATGCGACACTAGTCAAACTTCATAGAAAATAAGTTTTGACCATCTCCCCCACCAATCAACAATTTAGAAAGAGGATGATAATCAATAGAGTTAATGGCAAGATCGTTATAGTCATAGTTATATTTGTGAATCATGGCATTCTCCCTTGCCATTCCGTAATCCCTAAAACCTTCTATAGATGATGCGTTCAAATTTATGACGCCTATTGTTCCATCTAAAGTCAAAGTACAATAATAATAAGTTAAACTATATAACTCGTATGATTATTTATACAAAGAATTTACCTTCCGAACAGCTAAAAAGAAACGCTGGGCGATACGGATGAAATATTAACTCATATACTATTTTAAAAAATTAACAAGATTATTTGTTAGTAAAATAAATAATACTTCATATTATATATAATATAAGTACCATGTGTTTCATGTGGGTGAACTTGTTTTAAAGGTCCAGAGCAATTTCGAATATCCCAAGTTGTTACAAGGCCTTCCGAGCTGCCAGTGGCAATTTGACTCACCTAAAAAATAAAGCGTTTTTCTTTAAGTTAATCATTAATAAAATATTGGTAAGTGTTAAACTTTACCTGGGAAGGGTTAACTGCTAAACAATTTAGGGAATCCCTTGGACGATCGGGGCTAATCAACCAGAATCATAT